AGGGTTCTAAGGGAAACGGCGGTAAGCCCCGCAAGCCTCATGCGGCAAGCCCCGCTGAGGAAGAGCCCGAGCCCATGCTTGCAAGCCCCACCTTGGCCGAGGAGCGCGACTACGTGGCGGCAGTGACGCTGCCTCAGGAGGCCCAGGGTTTCAGGGATATTCTGGTTGATACGGGGGCAGGGTCACACTTGTTTACTAAAGAGTTTGATACTTCGGCTCAACCTGTGGGTGGCCCCGCGGGAGCTGGAATGGTCACAGTGACCGGGGAGCCCCTAAGCACAGGCCAGAAGAAACGTAGTCGGCTCAAGACCTCGGACGGTCAATTTCGGTTTTATCCTCGGGCCTCGCGGCCACGAAGGGGACCTGGACCGTGATCGGTCCAGATGTGCAGTGTCTGATTTTAGACAAGAATGCACACAAGGTCCGGAAGGCCTTGGGGTACACCAAGACCATAGAGCTTCAAAAGAAGCGTGGGGTGTACTGGCTGCCGGTGCAAAGCGATGAAAGCAAGGACACCGAGCCTACGGTGTTGGCAGCAACCAAGGCAGCAAAGAAAGTGGTGCCAGCAGAGGCCATGAGCCTCGAAGAGGGTGCGGGAGGAACCGCCCCGGACCAAGCTGCGGATGGAACCGCGCTTGAAAATCCACCAAAGGAAGACTCGGGAGGCCCAGCTAGGTCAAGCTCCAGCATGGGTCCAGAGAACCCGATCCAAGCGGCGGATAGACCCGCGCTTGGAAATCCACCAGAGGAAGACTCGGAGGCACAGCGCAAGACCAGATCGAAGCGCATCCCAGACCTGGTATCCGAGGGATCACATGATGACTCACCTCCCGTTTCGCTCCTGGTGCGACCACTGTGTCGCTGGAAAGTCCAGGGAGGACTCTCACCCGTTGCGAGAGGCACGGAAGTGTAAGGGCGAGGTCCCCCGTTTCTGCGTAGACTATGCCTTTTTAGGCAGAGCGCTGAAGGGCGAGATGCCTAAGACGGCAGAGGCATTGAAGGAGCCCCTTGACGTGGAGGACGCCCAGCGACCAATACTGGTCATGGTGGATCAGGAGACGGGAGCGACCTTCTCCTACTTGGTCACAAAGGGGGTCAACAACTACGCCGTTCATGTTATGAACGAGGCCCTCAAGTTTGCGGGAAGACAAAGGGTGATCATCATGTCGGACGGTGAGCCCGCGATGCGAGCTCTGGTGGATACGGTGGCCAGACAGGCCGGAAGGGAAACTCAGGTGCAGCACGCACCAAAGGAAACACATAGACCCAGCAACGGGGCAGCCGAACGAGCTATCCTAGAAGTGGCCAGGCAGGCCAGGACGCTGGTCCATGCCCTCGAGACACGTTACCCTGGATACCAACTCAAGGGTGACAACGAGGTGTTTCCGTGGGTGATTCGTCACAGTGGTTGGCTTATCACCCG